GGCACTCAGCGTTAGTGTCTGGCATCCAAGACTTGCGTAACGTAACCAGCATGTGATATTTTCTTTTATCGAAATTGTAAATTGAACATGCTCGTACTGACTTTCAAATTCCGACAGAAGGTCTCGGGTATATAAACAGGATGGTTGCACAATAGATTCATTCCTGCTTTGCCCGAGATCTCATGTTTGTTTTTTGAGGGCGTGGGCATCCCGATGCTAATTTCCAATCAACAGTTCTAGGACTAAAGACAGTAACAAAAACATACTGTTTTAATAGGATTACTTCAACAACAGACACTGGGAAATTTACTGGTACTTTATTGGTACTGTTTTGTCAGTACACGAGATGAAATAAAGGTTTGGTTCTTCGAGAACACAATCAATTTCGTATATCGGTAGGTGAGACGGTATAAATAAATGTGTTCGTTGCACAACCTTATTGATTCGACCCTGCATTCGATTTATGACCCAACCAATCTAAACAAAAACGTCATAACGTGGAAGAAAGGAACTTAACAAATTGTGGTACTGGTACAGTATCTTCCACTGGGCATGTCAGGTTTGATCATTATTAGTCAGTATTTACACTTTACGGCTCTGCGAAACGGAGGATCCTCACCTTTTAATAGGTACTCATGAGTATATCTTGTGTGGCCAATACGACATCGTCGTATGATGACCTCCTCAAATCTGGACTGACAACCAAAGTAGGTGTAACCAATGTAGGGTTTTATTGCATGTAATTTATTAATACCTACTTGGATGTCCCACTTCTTCTTACATCAGATTATGGATGTAAGTTCTAATGCTAGCTTTGTAATCAGAGTATGGAATTAGAAGTGGTGTCACAGATTTGTTGAGTGCTGCCTTAGCAGCAAGATCGGCCATTGTGTTCCCAGAAATGCCAACGTGGCTGGGTAACCAACAAAAGATGATGTCACATTGGCCAGTAGCAAGCTCATTATACAATTCAATAATTTCTAATAAAAGTGGATGTTTACAAGAAATATTTTTAATCGCCTGAAGGCAAGAAAGTGAGTCAGAAAAGATGATATATTGTTGATATTTAGGGTGTTTTTTAATATATTTTAAGGCTGTTAATATGGCGTTTGCTTCTGCTGTAAAAATAGAGCTGTTATCTGGTAAACGAGAAGAGATTGTTCTGGATCCAATGACAGTGGCACAAGCCATCGCGCCACCATCCTTGGACCCATCTGTAAATAAGGATTTATATGTATTATATTTACTTTTTAATTGATTATATTCTTGTTTATATTGTAATTCATTAGTTTCTGCTTTTTTAAATGCTGTCAATGTTAGGTCAACTAGTGGCCTAACCAACTGCCAAGGAGGAGAAGAAAAAAGACGGGAAGGAGCTATATTTTCCAGCTCGATGCCAGCATCAGAAATGAATGGTTTAAGTCGTATGTATAGTAGAAACCATCCACAAAACCATATGCTTGTGTTACAGTGCGACCTTATAGTAAACTGTTGTATAGTAGAAACCATCCACAAACCCATATGCTTGTGTTACAGTGCGACCTTATAGTAAACTGTCGTATAGTACAAACCTTCCACAAAACCATATGCTTGTGTTACAGTGGAGCCGTATAGTAAACTGTTGTATAGTAGACATTCCTTATGGTGATGCATTTATCGCTGCATGTACAAATAGTTGATTTTGATACACTGTGCTGTAATTATCTATTTATCCTTGTAATCAGATAAAGAGCTGTATGTACTGAAAGGTACTGCTTCATAAGAAACTAATGACTTCGTTCCGTTTGTTCGTATTAAACAAAGCTACGTGGAAACGTTGTGGAAATTGTTGTGTGAAAATGAAAATCGTGATAGAGATGTAATTTATGAAGTTGCCCGTCCGGCTTCGACTCAGGTGTTTATTCCCGTTCCCATTGATACATATCAATAACAAAGAACTATTTGTGACATGACTGACAAGCAATGCCACAACCCTTCAAGCGATATATAATAAATAATAGAACAAGAAAAGTTCCATCAAATATTTCCCGCCTGTTGTATTTTGTCCATAATATTATATAACTAGAGTCCACACGAGTAGCACACCGCAAAGTGTGAGCAGTGAGGTTTAGACTGGAACTGATGTTATTCATAATTAGATGCACGCTCCCAGAACCCAGCACATAATTGTTTGTGAGTAAACGGATTTCACTTGGTCTCTGTTTTAAGCTGACACAGAGTGATGTACATGATATAACTCAATTGGGAGCACTCAATCACTAACTCCCTCACTCATTCGCCCACGCACTTACTCACCCACTCACGTAAGCACACACAACATCTACAATTACGTTTAGGCATTCCTCTCGATAATGTCAACAAGTAAAGACAAAGTCAGATACTATAGATCGTCAGTGTGCCAAACATACAGATATAGATGGCGGCACAGACCTAAGATACAAGGAATTTATGTATTTATTTTATTTTTTAAATTTTTTTTAGAATCCCTTAAACTTCAAACAGAAAATCCTTGGATGAGGAGTAACTTTTTAAAAATCCATCGATAACCCTTTTAGTTTTTTTGAGACAAAGTAAAAGAGTACGTGTCCTATAACTTACCGAGCAATTGTTGCCCTGTCTAACTAAGTTGAACCTATGCTTTGGGGTTCGTTTTCATTATCATTGGGTACGCAGTGGAATGTTGTCCTAGCACATGATGTAGAATTGGACAAGTTTACCATAATAGTAATATTTCAGAGTATCGTTGTGTCCGTCAGTCACATGGCCGGATCTGCCTGAAACATTGTATCTGTTATTAAGGCTTCAGTGAGTACTAGGGTTGGTTTTAGTTGGACTAGAGTCCATTTTGAAGAACTCATACTCAGAAAGCAAACAGCACTGTGCTTCTTTTGTCCCGTGCAGCAAACGACACGCAGTGTTGCCGATACTGCGTTACCTATCTTCTGTAAAGTAAGGTGCAGTTTAGAAACATAAGTGAAAGTCATTTGTATGGGTTTGTTTTCAGACATTGAATGTCGTCGTGTGGGGTCTCACGAACACCTAGTATCATCACTATTTCATAGCAATTCATAAACATGTGCTCTGTCATCGTATCGCATGGTGACAATCACTGGAGCTTGCACGTGACTTTTGAGATGTCAGACTACGTTTTACGGCCACTACTAGTTGTGACGCTGTCGTTGAAGGACGAAGAGGTATTACCCAAGTCAAAAGTTTACTTTTCCTCATTGCCATAGAATATGCCACACAACTCTTTGAACAGCTGAGATGTGACACGTTTGGTTTGGGACATAAACCCAGACTGAGTGGTATTTCCTAACTGAAGCAAATTCATTTATACTTGTTTTCTTGAGCTATGTTGATGTCACTTGGATCCTCCATACATCTGTGTTTCTATACCTGCAGGTAGAATGTTTAAACTTAATTCAGCAGTTGTCAAATTGCTCCAGTGTAGCACTCGGTTATTTACCCCAGTGTCGTTGTCTTCTATTTACCCCAGTGTCGCTGTCTCCAATTTACTCCAGTGTCGCTGTCTCCTATTTACCCCAGTGTCGCTGTCTCCTAATTACCCAAGTGTCGCTGTCTCCCATTTGCCCCAATGTTGCTGTCTCCTATTTGCCCCAGTGTTGCTGTCTCCTATTTACCTATGTCACTGTCTCCTATTTACCCCAGTGTCGCTGTCTCCCATTTACCCCAGTGTTGCTGTCTCCTATTTACCCCAGTGTCGCTGTCTCCTATTTACCACAGTGTCGCTGTCTCCTATTTACCCCAGTGTCGCTGTCTCCTATTTACCCCAGTGTCGCTGTCTCCTATTTACCACAGTGTCGTTGTCTCCTATTTACCCCAGTGTCGCTGTCTCCTATTTACCACAGTGTCGCTGTCTCCTATTTACCCCAGTGTTGCTGTCTCCTATTTCACCCCAGTGTCGCTGTCTCCTATTTACCACAGTGTCGCTGTCTCCTACTTACCCCACCACAGTTTACCCCAGTGTGCTGTCTCCCTATTTACCACAGTGTCGCTGTCTCCTATTTACCCCAGTGTCGTTGTCTCATATTTACCACAGTGTCACTGTCTCCTATTTACCACAGTGTCGTTGTCTCCTATTTACCCCAGTGTCGCTGTCTCCTATTTACCACAGTGTTGCTGTCTCCTATTTACGTCAGTGTTGCTGTCTCCTATTTGCCCCAGTGTCGCTGTCTCCTATTTACCCCCGTGTCGCTGTCTCCTATGTACCCCACCGGCTTATCACAAACCAAAACATTATAATAGAGATAATAATACAATTGCAAAACAATACATCAAAGAGTGAGTGGATTAAAAACACGTATAGACACAGTTTCTGACATATAGCAAATTGTTTCATAGGGAAATGTCCTGGACCAATACGTGAATAAATGTACATAGATCGTAAAAGTTATAGTAAAACTGTAAAACTGTCGCTTCGTCACTAAACTACTAGATTACTGAAACACCCAAAACAAGATTTGTTTTAAGGGTATAACTGAGCGTAACGTGGCTTGTTTACGATGTCCATATCATAACTTGTAATACAGGGACAAGCTATTGACATTGTCTTGTGTATGCAGTAGTTCATGACAGCAAATTTATAATCACACAGATAACCCTCATTGGGACTCTCAATTGGTATTGTTCTTTCAAGAAATCTGCATGAGCGATATGTTTCTTCACATGGAGAAGAAATTCATCTCTAAACTTATTCAATATTCAATACAACAACAGTTAACACGCTTAAGATCAATGTACATTAACATATGGTCACGTGGAAAAGCCTGTGCTGCGCCTGTTTTGATGACGTCACAATATATGTGATGGTCTCATGAATATTCATTATGTGGAATGCCATACATGAGATTGCAACGGTTCATATTGGACGTGGGCTGCAAGACAGTGACGAGTGAAATATATGGTGAGATCTTTTTGGTTAAATTCAAGTGGGAGAATTTGTTGATTGCATTAGGCATTGTTATTGAACGCTTGTGAACATTCTTATGGAGAGTAGAACTGTGGCCTTGTGGTATCGAGTGAACACTCCCTCCTAAATATTTATACACGTGAGCTATTTTACTATCGGGTTCCATGTAACCAAAATATACCTTACAGTCTTTGACATTTGAGAAAATGCTACATATACATGTCACATTTCAGCTCCGGAACATTTTTTCTCAATGAGTGTATTCCTCTTTTTGATTAATTTTCAGATCGACCTGCAATTACTGAGTCGTCAATTGCCTATCCTTGTTCCCGTATTGGTAAGTTTTTCTGCAAATATTGAGAACGTAATCTTGACTTTTGTCATAGTGAACGAAATTTGCTGTCACCAAGCCAGCAAATGGGAGAGTGATACTGAAGACATTTATGGGACATTACCCATGTCAATCCAGCATCATTCGGTTATAAAATATTTAATGATATAACTTCAAAGAATTGTGATGCCATTGACTAATGACGAATTTCATCAGAAATTATACATTCCATTAACATCTGTCATCCACTTCCACGGATCTTCCATGGAACTATCCGCTCTCCAGTCATCTCCCCTGTACGTGCCACACATGAGCACTTGTTTTTTACATGTCTCTGTAAAATTTCCCAGGTAACGTGTCCAGGTTTATATGTTATAATTATTCAATCCTAAGACTGGGTAATTTAAAGGACGTACATGCATTCAGCTGGTCCACCGGGCACTAAACAATGTTTGATATGTGGCAAACTTATATCGTCGCACGATGCTCATGCTCAGTGCTGAAAGCGGCTTGAGAAGCCATGTTTGTTTGGTTTTATCTCGACGCTATATCTGTCACGCTGGTTCTCTAGCAGCCCTTGAGAAACAGGGCATTGTAGCGAAAAGAGAAAAGAAATAGGCTGTAATACATCCTCGATTCACCGCAAAATGTGCAATCGGCTGACATTCAGACGGACTCGGGGAACATGGCGTCCACTCTGTATGTCTTAATGAAACTACACCCGCCCCACGATCCCAGATTCAACGTCACAGAAGGCCTTCAGTAGCCTTGAAACCCTTTGGAGAGCTCATCCAATATTTATCCGAGTCACTGACAGCCATCGCTGAGAGGGAAGAGTCGCCATCTTCAAGTAGACGAGCTCGCCTGGAGCCTAAGTCGAGGCCAGCGCCAGTCAGCAACTGTCACCATGGCGGAGCAAGACCCGGGCACGCTAGACTTCAACTCAGCAGTCACCTTGGTCCAGTGACAAGTGGTCAGCTCAATCTCCCAGTCACCACGATGTAGATGCGGCTTAACAGGTTTCTTGTCCATTGACAGCTATCAACCTTTATCAACCATCGTCAGCACAAGTCATGGCTCACGATTTTCTTCCCTTCCAACCTGAATTTGTCCAAGTCCCCATTGTGTTTTTTCGGTTGAGAACACCAGCCGTACAGACCACAGCAGCTATAAGGATAGCGGATGATACATGGACCGAAGTGCAGAGCAATCCATCACATCAACTCGTTCATCTTAGAAATATTACCATGGACTGCATGGAGCGCAGCAGCCACGTAGACCGCACGGACCACTCGGTCCTTTTAGATAGAAGGAATTCAACCAGTATAGATACACAGCAACTGGTTTCTACCTGCCCCACACGCTGCACAGACTGTACCATCAGCTTGGACGATAGAGATTGTTCTCACCACATAGCAGCTGCCAGCCCGGGAAGCACACATAGTTTGGAGCGTAGCCTCTTAGATAACGTCACCGTGTCTTCAGACATTGCTGATCCTAGTACGTGAGAGGAGCTGTAGCTGGCGTCATTTGGCCTACCACTTGAACCATCTGAACTCAACTTATCCATGTACACCTTCCCCGATAACGTTGCAACCAAGCAAGTTCTTTTTCCTCAGATATCCCATCACAAAGAATTTGCAGGAGATATTGCGATGGCATTAAGCTTTAAGCTCTTCAAGGACTTGAATCAAGGAGGAATTTACCATTGAAATCTCCCTCACTGGACAGAGATTTCAAGGGATGTGCTGTGCCCTCTGGTGCACTGATCAAGGGGAAAACAATTAGAGAGTTCGACGAGTCCGTCCGTTGAATTAACAACCTTCAAGGCCTTAATTACTGACATATTTCTCACGTGAGAAAGATGCTACCCTGTAAGATGGAGGAGGAGGCAGCTTCGGGATCCCTAGTTTCAGCAGCGATGACACTGACACACTGGCTGTTAAACAGAATGATCATCAATCTGAAGATCCTTATCTGGGAATACCCGAGATGACCACACAAGTTCCGGATGGAGTCTGTATGGAATCTCTGATTTCCATAGTGTACTCTATGATGTCCCAAGCATATCTTCACGAACTAATATCTATGCTTGAAAGGGAGACAGCAATTTCAATATCAGTAGCTCAATTATAAGCACTCTTGGTCTGTCATACCTCCATCTACAACACGTGATTATTCACGGATATCTCGGCGATTTCCTTTCTCCACATGCCAACATAGACGATTCGTTACATCACCCAATCCATCTAACTTCTTTGGGAATTTGGGGTTCCTAGTTCACCCAGAAAAATTGGAACATAAGTACATAAGGGTACATCAATGCTCTTAAGTTATCGTTTATATCCTGAACACTGTCAGGATGTCACACACTATGATATCGAAGTTCCTGAAATCTCAACACACTCTAAGGTAATGGATGTTGTTATTGGGAGTACTCACATATATGCAGGATCAACCATTGAGATGCCATCTACGTATCGGATTATTTCAGAATTTGATTATTCAAAATCGAGGGAAACATCTAGACTCTACGGATCTAGCGTTCAAGGAACCCAGTTGGTGGAGGACCCTGACAATGTCATACATGCAACCCTGATCAGGATGTGGTCACCAGATTGTCAATTCTTCACAGATGCTTCTCTCACAGGATGGGGACCTCAACTAGAAGATAAGAAGACAAGGGCTGAGAACTCCACACTTCCAGTTGCCACTGAACTGGGATTTGTCTGTGGTTTTGTGGGCCTATTAAACCATTTTTTTTAAAACCATAGATAATAAAAACTCTGTCTCATCTTGCTTGGAATACTGCATTCCTTATGGCATTGGCCTAAGCCTTAAGGATTTCAGAACCGCATGACCTGGATGTTAGATGGCTTGATGATTCTTGAAACTTCCATCCAGAATCATGATCAGAGCATTACAGGAACTTGGTGTCCGAAACGTTAACCGGAAGTGACGTCAGTTACATGTTGCTGGAGGTGGTGTGGCTGATGGTTTGTTTGTGCCACATTGGTTGATCATTGGAAAACAGGAAGAGACTGAAGTACATTGATTGTTTAAACAAAATAGTTTCAGTTATATTTCACGCAAAATCCTTTGCCTCTTCACCTCATCATCGAACCAGTAGTTTAAATGCTCATTGCATGGGCTCAAATTGATCAGGTTTTTAGTCTTGGTCACGTGTTTCCACGACAGACAGCCTCCATTCGGGAAGCTATGAGGATGCTACCCTGCCTTATTATTTTGGGACTTGAAACCTACCACGTCCAAAGAGCATCGTTAACATACCCATCTTTTTCGCAACCCTATTTACACTCCCAAGTAATAGCTCATAGATACTGACTAAATACGCACTGCCACAAATTGCACAACACCTTCAAGATAATATTTGTGTCTTTGTACCGAGCAGAGGACAATTGTTATCTTCTAATGATACTAATAGAAAACAAAAACTTTATAAGTTGGACCTGTCCTTTACCAACCTAATACTACAAGGATCTGTTAGTCTCTATAAAAAGGTTACTTAATACGTCTGCCAGAAGGGAGGAGATTGTTCTCTTTGATGAGGCAATGAGGAATCTCTCTCAGTTCTCTGTGCACTCTTTGTTACTCTTTCCTCATACCATACAATTAGATGCTTAAATTTAACACTGAATGTTTTGCTAGTTGAAATGGAGTATTGTTGTGTTTGTTTTTCCTTACCATAGACAAACCTGCACACCAAACATAACAAGATAAAGTTAAAACACTTTGAATAATTCAGTCGTAGAATTAAGATAAAATGTGAATACTGACATTGAACAAAAGAAATGTGCATACAGATGAGTCTTTTGAAACTGAAAGTTTGAATTAAAGGAATTGTTGCACTGGATTTAGAGTTTCAAGATGTGTAAGTCTATTATCTCCGCCAAAGGGAGAAAACCCCTAGGAGAAACAGGAAACATCGTGATATGGGTGATGTTGTGAAAACTTATAGCGACTACTTTTGCTAATTTGATACCATTGAACACGCGTTTTATTCAAAGTATTCTGTTATGTTTACATTCTTAGTAGATATTCCCATCTATAAACTGATTAATCGTCTCTTGATAGAAAATTAATCACTATCGCTTCATTGACTTGCACAGGTACGCAGCTTGATTACTTTATGAATGAAACATATTAAATATTTTAACCGTCTTATCAAAAACGTGTGTCTTGTCATTGATTCTCTCTCCCACAAAAAAGCCGTTTCTGGCCTATGTGTTAGTGATGTAAATATTCAAACCTTCCATAACGCAATAAGATGTTTCAAAACACATACTTCAGGCATGTAAATACCCGTGAAGGTCCGGGTTAGAATATTTATCTTCAGTAACCCATGCTTTTCATAAGAAGCAACTAACGGGATATGGTGGTCAGGCATGCTGACTTGGTTGACACATGTCATCGCTTCCCAATTGTGCAGATCGATGGTCATGCTGCTGATCACTAGATTGTCTGGTCCAGACGTGATTATTTACAGACTGCCGCCATATAGCTGGAATATTACAGAGTGCGGCGTAAAACTAACTCACTCACTCATTCACGCATGTATACGTCAGGAATTCCACTGGTCGATAAAGACGATAAAGATAATTATCATATGACGGAGCATAGTAAGACACGAGGGTGTGACTTTGCAGTGGAGAAAATCACTTATGGTCTTGTTTATCCAATGAAAACAGTCAATGCTCTGGGAGGGAGAGAAAATGTTTATTTAAGTCTCACTTTCTGTATATCATCATATAATGCAAACATTTTGGTGAAGTTTTTAAGTGCAGATACCACCCGTTACGTTCTGAGAGACTACTAAAACTAATAAAAACATTATAAACATACAGTATGTACAAACAGACGAACGTATACATTTTAAGTTAACTAAACAAGTACAGTACAGGTATGCATACACACATGCAACAAACATACATACAAACATATATACACACATACATATACACACACGCATGCATACATACATACAT